AGACCGTCCCCCAGCTTCCACTGCCCTGGCAGCCAGGACTAGCCCACCCAGTGGGCCTCCAATAGATCCTGCCCACCCAGCCTGCCAGGAGAGGTTGTGCCAGTCAGGGAGAAGAGGCAGAGTGAGGACACTGACCCAAAACATCCCTGTGCACCTCTCTCAGCCCTGCCATCCCAGAGAGCCCCTCTCCCAGCCCCGCCATCCCAGAGAACACAGCCACTCGGCAGAGGACCCAGCTGTCCCAGACCTGGCTGGGTCTGGGCCATCACGCTCACCGTGATACTGCTGTCATTTGGGATCTTGCATCCCCTCCCAAAACTGCTCCAAGGAGTATGAGAGCCTCTCAGCAGAGCGACTCTGTGACAGGGGCACCCCGCAGTGCCCACCCCCCTGCCATCACCTGGCCCTGCCCGCCGAGAGCAGCCCCTTACCCGCCGCTCCGCGTCGGTGGCAGCCAGCAGCAGCGCAATGAGCAGGGCCATCGCCTTCAGCTGCAGCTGGGCGTTCGTCCTGCACAAGGAGGAGGAGGAGGATGGGGACCGTCACCAGCTCGGAGGACAGTGTTGCCCTCCCCAGGGCAGAGTCCTCTCCCCCCTCCACTGACCCCCCAGAGAGGCCAGAGCCATGAGCGAGCAGCTGCTGACAGCGGGACCGGGGTGAGACGGTCCCCACAGCCGTGCCTGCGGAGCACCCGGGGGGGCAGACGTTGCTCTGCGCACACCTACACGTGGGTGCAGCATTTTGGAGCTGCAGGAAAACCCAGGGTGAGCAGCAGACTCCTGCCTGGCAGGAGCCCTGGCTCTCTCCGTTTTCCAGAAAGAAACGCCTCCAAACTGAAGAGATGGTTGGGAAGAGGAAGGTGAGGGAACGAAGAACGCGCTTTGGCTGAGAGATTTAACAAAGTCTCTTTGCTCAGTACGGCACCACCACCCCCAAGTTGCAAGGAACATCCTACTGCTCCTAAATACACTGGGGCACGGGAAGGAAGAGCCAACACCAGAAAAAATGCTGGTCAGCTGCATATCCGAATGAAACAGGCCATGAGTGAACCCATGGGGGAATCTGACCTGGAAACAGGATGGTTTCCAGGACAGTCCATCCCTCCCCCAGCAGCAGGGACAGGACAGACTGCCCACCCAGAAGTTGTTTAGGAAGGGACAGTAGGATGTTGTGCCAGGGATAATCAGCAAGACTTGGAGAAATTCCTTCCATCACCTCATCCCCACGGCTTTGGGATGGGGCGAACGCGCTCTGGCCTCACCACTTACACCTGCAGGTGGGTGAGAAGACGATCCAGCGTCACTTCTTTTTTGACTAGCTCAAAGAGGAGGCGACTGGTGGGCACCATGTTCTCCAAGATGGACAAGGAAAGCTGCTGGACAGACTCGTCCACCGCATTCATGTTGACGTAACTCACTATCTAGGAGACACAAAATCATCCATCCATGGCAGGCTGAGCCTGGGTGACGAGGGAAACAAGGAATCCCAAGGCTGTGGAGCCTCCAGAAGGCATTTACCTTCTTGATGAAGGCTGCACTGAGAGTCTCCCAGGAAACAAAATCATGCTCCATCAGCTCCATGAAGGCCTTCAGGGTGTGAGCGAGCATCTCCCCGGTGCTGCAGGGACAGATGAGCAAACACAGTGAGGATGGGTCCGGGTACCCCTCGGTCACCACCGAAAGATGGGATTACAGTTGGCAGGTACGTCAGAGACAGCCACGGGAGCAGCGAGCAGGGGAAAGGAAAGCGAAACTGTTGGGTAACAAATCGAACTCTCGCTTACTCATCCCAGGAAGTTGAGGCAGGAGAAGTTCAACAATTTCTGGAAAGCTGCATTACCATGGTACAAAGATCACTGCAGACAAGGCCTCAGGAAAGCCAAGCTACCCCAAATCCCTCCCCTACTTCCAAGAAATCCATGCTGCGCTGCCTGGTTTTAGGCTCTGCATCCCCTGAGACCGGAGCTCGGAGGAGCTGCACCATGTCCTGAAAGTCGAGCAGGCACTAGTATCCGGGAAACGGGTTTTCCTCCAGCAGCCTGCAGATCCCGCAGCTAACACCGCAGGGCAGAGGGATTATTCGGGGTGGCGGGACGAGCAGCAGCGGAGGCTACGATCATCCCAGGAGGTTTGCCAGCAGCAAAACCCATGGGGCTGCAGGTGACCTCAGCAGCAAAGGAACGGGAGGCTCAAGTCTGGGCACATTCATGAGGAGTCAGGACCACAGAGCCGTGGGGAGCTGCCCCCGGCTGCCAGCGTGCGGGGACACGGCCGTGTACCCACAGGTGAGGAGGCTGCAGAGCCACGCGCCCTGCCACCAGTGCTGCCCTTTGGGATGCAGCACAGGGATCAACAAGCCAGGAACACTGAGTCCGCTCCGTCGCCCTGCTTTGAGCCCGTGCAGCGTTAGCAGGGGAGAAGAGAGTCAAGACCGGCAAGGCAAGTCCTCTCCCGATACTCACGCTTTCCCTTCTTCCACAATATGGAAGATTTGTTTCAAGCCATTCCTGTTGATGAACTCCTGGGCAAAGGTAATGTCTTGGGAGAGGCTGGCGAGCTTCTTCAGCGAGTCAGTCTTCACGTCCGAGTTGTTGCTCTGGATCCCGCTGTACAACCGCTCTGCTTCTTGGTCCTACCAGGAAGGAAAGAATCAAGCCAAAGGGGCTCATCGAAAGACAGCAAGAAGCTTGGAGAAGGCTGGAAGAGCTTAAGCACAGGTTTTGGAAGGAGGCTCCGGCTAGAGCAGCCCTGGTGAGGAGCTGGACCGAGAGGCAGAGACCGGGAGGGGCCGAGGAAGGTCGAGCTGGCGCGATGCTAAGAACCCTTGATGAGTTGGCCCCCGCGTCCAAAGCATCTCCAGATGATTTGGTTTCTCTTCAAACTCCCCCAGGCTCTGCCGCGGGAGAACGGAGGTCGAGACAGGTCTGCTCCCCGCATCCTCTCCGCTGGGTCCAAAAAAAGGCGAGCCGAGGCAGCGGCAGAGGGCTGGGAGCACCCCATCACCCCACTGCGGGGGGACATCCCACCGGAGCACGCGGCAGAGAAGGAGACGAGGGGGCAGAGGGATGTACCGGGGAGGTGGTCAGCCGCAAAATGCTCCCGTTCTTAATCTCCCCGCGGTTCTGGAAGGAGAAGGGAACCGGTGAGCGGGTGAGCCCGGCAGCGGCGGGGCCGGGGAGGGGTCGGGGGTCTCACCGACTCGGTGATGTAGGTCTGCCGCCCGTCCACGTACTGCAGGGCGTAGCGCTCGGCGTTGGGCAGGCTCCACCTGAGGCGACGGGTGGCCGGTCACAGCGGTAC